CTTAAAAACAAATGAAAACTTATACAGATCACACTTATTGACATCACAGTGTTACTAAAAACACTACTATAACACAGACCGTTAGCTGTAATAACACTGAACAAACTTCCAACAACATCCTCCTTTCTCATGCATTTTGTTGCTTTTCTTCTGCATGAGTTAATTCAGACTAAGTATTAGCCTCCACAGAGGAGGGGGGAGGGGTGCGAGAGGTAAACTATATCTATGCAATCCCGTGTCCCACTGGGCCACGGTAAGTTCCACGTAGTAGTTCTAGTTTTTCTTTCACTTCTTGAAGAAGACTTTCGCATCTCTTGGCGGTTTCAATCTTATTTTTCCACGTGAGAACCAGCGAGTCGTGCTCCTTAGCCATTTCTTTCTGCTTTGCGATGGTCGATTTATGGGACATACTAATTCCAAGACGATTAAGGCGAGTGAAATCCTGGCTCTTGGCACCACTATGTAACAGGATCACGGAAATTCTGTAGGCAAGGGCCGACATTCTCTGATGCCTAAATTTGGCCACAGAAGCAGAGCAAAGTGCCAGGACATTTACAGCCTTGTCAGACTTGGCCTTGGATCTGTGGCAATCAGCTGCAGCTCTCAGGGCGGCATTCCAGAGGGGACATATCACTGACACTTCGTGGCAAACTAACTTATTAGAAAGCGCGGCTAATTCTGCTGGCGAAGTATGCTTCAAAAGAGAATTGTCTGATTGACAATATTCCTTCAGTTCACTAGAAATAGCTGATTTTAAGGCCTCTTCTATGAAAGGCTTCAGTTCCTTGCACTTAAAAATCAAATGAACGGCCGCCTTGAAATTACTTATTGCGAAGTTTTTCACAATACCTGACACATCATCGGGCACTCGCTTGTGGCGCTGTCCGGATGGAAAATCGAGGGTTACATCCACGTTAATTTTTTTCTGTGATCTGTCCTTTTCCTCACGTCCGACATCATCCAACAACACGTTTAGCGGAAAATCTGCACTGGCTTCTCCGGATGATTCGAAGAGATCGTCACTGTCCAGGGTTATGTTCAGAGTGTCGCCCAGATCAGCATCTCTGGCCATGTCATCATTTCCGTTAAACAGCATAGAACGTTTCGCTCTTCGCCTATTTTCTGGCTCATTTTCTGCTCGCGAAACAGCGGAAGGACTTGTTTTCCGTGACTGCTTCGCCTTCGGCATTGGCGAGCTGTAAGGCCGGCTCTTCTTGACATTTCTCGGGGGAGAAATGACATTCAACCTTTTGAAGCGAGGATCTCCGCCACTTTCCACGTAAGTGGTGTTTTCAGAATCCAATGCTGCCTTTATAAATTCGCATATGCTACTGGCATTCCGAATTTTCAGGGCACATTTTGCGCAAACACGGGAAGACTTCTTCGTATCTTGCAGGATTACTACTCCGACATGCTTTCCAACCAGCTCGGCTAGGGGAGTGCTGCTGACTCCCGATTTCTGCGGTATTTTAAACAAATTCTCCGTGGAAACACGGTATCTGCCAGACGACTTAAAATCAACGAAACAAAGACGACACGTATTAGAAATATCTGGCTTCTTAGCTGATGGTTTAACCGGTTTTTGGGGTGTAGAAGAAAGCGTGTTCACCGCCTCCATTGGAAAACGGTGATGTTTTGATCACGCAACATTCGTGTATCAAATGTACATTTGTGTATTTTATTTGGCATGTTTTTTTGTCAGAGGCGGAGTTTGTTAATTAATGAATGGGGATAGGCGTTAAATTCCTGTCACGCCCCCTGAACGCGAGTCGCAGTGATGTTATTACAGTTCCTCTATTTTTCTCGCCTCCTCCCAAACCGTCCCCCGCCCCCTAAGTAGATTTGATACTCTTCCCCAGGTTAGACTCGGTACGACTGAAAATCAAGATGGCCGCCATTAACGGTAAGACGCGCTCGATCTCGACGATCACACGGAAAAATAGGGGACTGTGAACAGTCTAGTTTATCCGCCGGCGGGAAAAGCTGTCGTCGGCTGGAAAAACTCTCAAGTTAAATTCACTGCACTGCTCATGAATGCAAGATCAAAATGTCGAGACAAAAACCAATTACTGCTTTCTTCTGTGAAAAATATGGCGATCATGTACAACATAATCAGTGCACATCTTCAGAAAGTGTAAATTTAGCGGCTTCAGCTGAGCTAGTAGATTTGGATGAAGATTATTCCATTCAGACCGAAGATCCTGATGCTGAGCCAACGTTAGCAAAGAGACGAAAGCTTATTAAAGACCATCAAGGTAATAGCATTGTTAAACTTAAATGTAAAATTTTTTATTTGACCTAGCTGCTCACTTACTTTGGGTAATTCGCATGACTTTGATAAATTTAACATTGTAGCCCTCGAGCGGCTTATTTTTATTTTTGTTTCGAGTCAATTCACTCTGATTCCTCAGAAAAACATCACACTGAAGGAATTTCTGAGTTTATCTAGCTGAACTACCAAGTATCTTCGTCAGTGACAGTGATCTTTTAAATCAATTCC